AATTAGTTGCCATTTTAATTTAAATAGAAGTTAGGTTAGTTCAAAAATTTATCGTATAAAGTAGTCTCCGTGTGGCTATATTTGGACCCGATAAATCTACTTTATTACTTATCACGATATGTACACTTGTCGAATCTCACGAAGTTAAAGAAGAGGATATAAATGTTATTATTCTTCGTGTATGACGTCATAATATGGATGGAGCATCAGTCCGCGCTCCCGAATTAATGATTGCATAAAAACTATGCATTAAAAAGAAAGAATTGCTAAAATTGGAGCATCAGTCCGCGTACCCAAATATTAAATTGTTAATTATACTTTGTAACTATATCGAGTAGTACATTCAAACATGAACATAGTGGTAGTAAGATTAATATGAACCAAACGATATTTTTTATTATGTTATTAATCATTTAATAATTATTTAAATAACTAAAATCCTATTCATCAACAAATATGTAACTTTTATGAATAATGAACTGATTTGAACATTTTTCAAGCTCAAGTAGTAGTTGTTATCTATCAAAACATCTTAATTTCCCAAAAAAATGATATATGATATCTAACAATTTCTCTATGCATTGTACGAGATGGAAAATTTTACATTCAATTTGTCTTGATTGATTTTTTTCTTTTCGTTAACATCATTTATGTTGGGACAAAATGAGTGATTTGTGTATAGATTTTGTTATTTAGACAGTGAATCATAACATGAATAGTACAAGCCAAAATAACAAATTAATATAACACAAAAATTGAGAAGAGAATTTGAAAGTGTTAGGCTTTTAGTTGTATTGGCAATCCTTTTCACAAAGAGTTGTAAAAGTCAAGGAGTCCTTTGGAGGGTAGCATAGTCCTTGACAGAGCCCAAAATGTCCAAAAAGATCACGTATGATCAGTGTCAAATAGTCGCACAAGTTATATTCAAAATTTTCAGTCACAACTTACAATGCATTATTCATATAGTAAACATTGGAATTTGGACAAAACTATCTAGAAGAATTACAGCTCTTTGAGTTACCTTTCCAATGGAATTTGAATCACTTCAATCGGATAGCAGGAGATAACATTATGATAACAATGCTGATGATTGCTCACTGCTGCTCACTTATCGCTGTCTTGGCGCTCGAGTTACGGTCGACGTTTAGAAATCTGTTTCGATTCAAACAGTTGGTTTTTCAATCCTTTTTCATTCCAAATACTTTTTCCTATATATATCCTATCCTATGAACGTCCAAAAAGTACGGTTGATCATCGTTTTACATCTTTATATCATTATTCAAAGATCCAAGAATGCATCCAAATAATTAGACTTACCTTTTGATTCTTGAGATCAATCAACCACAAGTTTGGGAAAAATATCAAATTTATATAATCTAAAATACTCACTTCCTAAATATCATTAGGAAGGTACTTTCTCAATAGAAAAATTTGAGAGAGGTTGGACCAGAAACACAAGAAGAGTACAAGAACGAGACGTTCTTGGTGTTCCACAGGAGATAGGCAATTCTAGAAGATGGGAGCAGGTGTGAGTGAAGCACGTTCTAGCCGATATTGGAAATTGCAGGAATTAGCGAGCCTAGTGGATTTTCTAGGTTGAATCATATTATATGTTCTTATTGTCTATACTAGAAACTATTAGCTTGGTCAGGGAGTTTTTACCAGTTGAAGGTTCTCTCCATCATCAAATCTTGTGTTATTTACTACTTTAATTATTTATGGCGGCAATTCAACATAGGATAATTTGACGTAATTGACTAAACATCTAGAACAATTAAAAATTGACTTGCTACTTGTAATTGATAAATTTAATTCTACGTTATTCACATACTAGTTGATTTTAGTGTTGAACTAGTAACTCTCAGAATGCAAGCCTTAGAGACTTACGTCAAGAACGATGTCCTAAAATAGTGTTGCCTCACTTTCATGCGATTACTTTCGACACTACACGACTTAAAAAATAAAATCCATATCCCTTTCAAGTTATATCTCAAAACATGAAATTTCATCTCCCTTTTATAATGTAGAAGTCCAACCCCAGCATAATGAAAATAAATTAAATATAAAATAATTTATAATCTTTAATTATAATTTTCAATTTTGTATTAAAAATGAAAATTTAAACAAAACTGAAAAATTTTAATTGTATTTAATTTTGAAAGTTTGTAACTCTTATATGTTACAACAATTTATACTATATAACTTTGCCTCTCATACGTTTAACTTTGGTACTTGTATTTAGAAAATTCTCTTTCAATTTATGTTTCAACATGATTTGGTGAAATAATTTTATAATATAGCTTCTTGTCGGGTTAAAAGAAAAGTTATTTACCTTTGATGATAGAGTTTACTTCGTTCAAAACCAATACTCATTACTATCTCCGTTTCGTGATCCCCCATCGTTATTGTCAATTTGCTTTGCATTTTTCTTCATAAGAACTCGACAAATGTGACAAACTAATAATGCACAAAAATCAACGAAATCTACCTGTGGTTCAAATTTTAATTTAATTAATGCACATATTTCTTTTAAACGACAACAAGAATTAACCCGGGTTGNATACTACTGCAATCTGTTGAGAAATTAATAAAGAGCTTGGTTAAAATAGGCAACACAGAGTATATTAGTGAAGGTTCAAAAGCCTCTGATGGGAAGATAAAAGAAGAAGAGAGGAAAATTGGCAAGGTGTTGGATACATGAATTTGGAACAAAAAGACATGCTATGGACATATAATTTGATTATTCGAAGTAATTAATTGCATCAATAATGTATGTTAACTCACTGCTACGAGTTGTTAAAAGTTTGGCCTATGTGTAAACCAAAGTTGGCTCAATAAGGTGAAATCATGTCAATCTTGTGAAACGGTGTTGACAATTATTCAGAGATATTTTAAAATATAGTGATAGATATGAGCAGCGTCTCTTGCATATAAAGTGTGAGAATAAGATGACTTGTCATTAAATTTATCTATAATCATGATTTATCACTTTCTTTTTTCAGAAATAACACGAATGAAAGAATTACAATAGTAATTTTCTATTGTTTGCCTAGCCCGATCAAACCATTGTGATTGGAAAATGGGTTGAGTTTGACTCTATTGCTCGACATGAGACCCCTAGATTCTTGATTGCAATCAAGTCAAGAATAATAAATAGATTCTCTTAAAGTCAAAGTTGATTTTCTTTATATAAGCGACATTAATTAATTTATATGAAATAATATCATAAATGTCATCGGAAGATAGCAGTAACTTATCAATAATTAGTTACAATTATGCATCATGATTGACAATGTTAAATTCATTTATAGATGGTCTCAAAAAGAAGCATGACAATAACTATTGACCCTATGAATGTGATATATTGTATGCTAATTCAACAATAATGACTCATCATTGGTGTATTGAGCTCTTGAAAGCTTAACAAAAAAGTTAAATGATATATAGGATAGTAAATGATTTATGACTTTTCCATTTCATTTCCTTATTAGTTAATTAAATTATTGATAGCATATAGTACCTCTTCATTGCATTAGAGTTCTATGAATGTTAAACTTATTCCTAGAGGATGCATTATTATACTTCTTCAATGATTGGTACCACATGTGACAACAATGAAAGATACGCAGTACATTCTTAGGAGAGTAGTGACAGATTTTTAGAATCCACATGTGATAACAATGAATTTATGTAAGTTGCTGGACAAAAGTTTCAATGATAAACAAAGTAAGAATATCAAAAATTGTCAAATTAAATAATCATAAAATATATATTCGAGACTCACTAGTTAATTATGTCTTTTATGACATCTTATCTTGCAATAATTTTTTTTCTTCTTATGTGCACATTGCACCATCACCTAGTGATTTATGAAAAGACTCTGATTTGACAGAGCTCTTATTTTGTGCATAAATACATTTTTTGATGTTGATATTAATCTTTTTATTTTCGAGAATGGATCCACGAGTATAAATATGTCACGTAAAATATATAGCGACTCAACTAAAATCTAATTATACAATTAGTTTTGTTTGAAAACATGTATGCAGTGTTAAAAATGGAAAAGGACTCCTAATGCATTTTTTATTGAAACTTCTGCAAGTATAAAGAATAACTAAGACAATTTTTATATGAAAAAAAAGCCCATTTCATTCCTACTATCACACGGGGACAGACAATTGGCATTCGGGGTCATTATTTTATTTACTAGAGAAAATTTTGACATGTACTTTTAGGGTCTACTTACCGATTGTCATTTTTGTTAATTCAAGAGCTCTATACACCAATGATGAACAATTATTTTTGTCATTATTGTTGAATTAGCATACAATATATCACATTCATAGGGTAAATAATTATTGTCAAGCTTCTTTGTGAGATCATCTATAAATGAATTTAATGTGCTATAGAATATTATGACTTCATACACGAAGAATAACAAGAAGAGATTTTTTTTATATATGCATTGACAATCGAATGATGGAAGGACATGCATACAAATGAAGTAGTTTAACTAACTAATTAATGTATATGCATATGTTAGATGATGGAATGTAAAGATGATATGATGAGGCTTTACTTCAAATAACAAATACTTTATTAATAAAGTGCATGCATATGATCACGAAGTTTTTAGTACACATACAAGTGCAAATATGTCAAAAACATACAGATTTTCATAATTACATGGTTATTTATTCAATAACCTCAAATAATCGCCTTTAATTTTTACTTTTTAACATGTAAAAATGTTCTTGTATCTAATTGCTATGGTTTGAGGTACGTCCGCTTATTGTTCATTATTGTATTAGCTAAACTTTCTCATCAGTTTAAGGACATTTCATGACAATAATTATTAGTCATTTTCATACCAAATTAACAACACCAACACCAACACCGCCGCTCCCACCCCCACCCCCTCACGCACATATATATATAGAGGGAGAGTAGTAGTATTACAACATCGAATTTTCAATTTGCGAGGGAGAAAAACCTTCAAGATGTTTCCTTTAATCATTTTCATGTTCTTGGCTCCCTTCGAATTCCAATCTGAAATTCTGGTGTATGGATGTGTTGACAAGTCTATATTCATACTTGCCCGCCAGAGCAATATGGCTGGTCGAGGTGGTGTGCTGCATGGGACATGGGATGGTTATGTCCCTCCTGAATGCCGTCCTAAGCCAAGGATTCTACGACTTAACCCTAAATTGATGTGGGAGGAGGCACATGAACCTCTTCATGGAGACATCGACACACGAAAACCTTGTGGGGTGGGACCGGGAATGTCATTCGCTAATGGAGTGCTCGAAAGAGATCCTTGTGTCGGGGCTATCGGTTTGGTCCTTGTGCTATTGGTAATACCAGTATAACGGAGTGGAAACAGGGATCCTATCTTTATAATCAACTCTTGAAGAGGGCTAATGCGGCACTACAAGATGGAGGTAAAATTTGGGCTATGCTATGGTATCAAGGTGAAAGTGATTCTTTAGATGAAATCAGTGCTAGAATGTATAAGATGAGGTTGATAGAATTTTCCTCGACATCCGGGGAGATTTAGCTTCCCCTGCACTCCCAATTATTCAGGTATGGTTACTTTACGAATTTTCTGTAAGCTTTAAGCCCAATGCATCCTTGAACAAAAACACTTTTAGGAGTAAGTGAATAGACCACAAACAATGTTAAGTCACCCGAAAAGTGAATGGAACAAAAAATCCTAATTCATCTCTGCCAAGGATAGTAACAGTGGTTGTTGATTGGATGTGTAAGGTGAACTAATATTCTTTACATCTGGTGTAGTTTTTCTTCTTGGTCATTTTTTTAATCAATCAAATGGGGTTTTAATTATGGTTCAAATTGAATTTTTAAGAATCTTTTTGCCTGCTCATTCTCTTTGCACAAATGGGTTCTGCATTTTAATTCTATTCATCAACATTTGCTGTTGGTCTGATTTTTTTGCTTTAATTTCTGAAAACATTCTGGTAATTTTTTTTTCTAAAAATAGGGTTTTCAGTACGTCATTATGAGTTTTCATCTAAAAATGTGTTGAAATTAGTTGATAATTAGTTTTACTGTATTTATGTTTAATGTTTCGTGGGCAATTAAAGCTCTTTATGTGTCTTTGCAACATTTTGGTACAAGTTTTGAAGTTTTGTTAAGATGACACGTATTTTCAAGTGATTCTCATTTATATGTCAATTAATTGTTTCTTGTCAGTACATGCAATATTTTATATCAAATAAATCATAAAATTATATGATAATTGGTTGCAGGTGGCATTGGCTTCAAGAGTGGGATCCTATTTCGAGGTTGTAAGAAAGGCCCAACTAGAGATCAAACTTCCAAATGTAGTATGTGTCGATGCTAAGGGACTGGAGGTGAAGAAAAATGACACAGTGCACCTTACCACTTCAGCGCAAGTCCAACTAGGAAAGATGTTGGCTAATGCCTTTCTTCAGATTGGAATTTAGAGTATCGATCAGGGCATGATTGAAAATAATATGTTGAATTGGTAAATATAGTGCTTGTTTTTTGTACAATTTTAGCAAACAACACTATTAAGAAAATCCTTAACAGATAACACTCAAAAGACAACGATTTTTGTGAAAACTGTTGTTAGTGAAAAACATCTTGCACAAATTGCTACATCGTTGCAAAAGATATAACTCATGGTCGAACGGACAATGAATTTTACTTCAATCAAAAATTAATATTACAAAGGCAACTAGTTCTGAAAACTGATGTTCAATTTACTATCTCACAACCTCACTCGATTACTTTTTTATTTATATTTAATTACCTATGTAATTTTGTTGAACAAATATTTAATACGGTAGAAGATAATGAGAAATTAATGAGAACTACGATATATGATTTCCCCAAAAACAAACACAGAAGCTTCTAAAGCAATGAACACACGTCGATTAGTAAGATGAAATTACCTAGAGATATATGCCGTCGGTGCTATCCAACTAAGTAAAACACCAATGTATCTTTGAACGTTTACTTCATTTTTTCAATTTTTTGGAAAGTTTTCAAATTGTTTAGATATTTCAAAGCAATAAACGAATACGAAAATCACAAGAAGCAGACTCTCAAGTCAATAACCCCCAAACTGATAGATACATTGTCTCAATGTAAGCACAAAAACAAGTAAAAGATTTGTTGGGTTTTGATATCCAATAAATCCTGGGCTATGATGTTAAACCGATTTATTGTTGGAATATAATTCATAGGCCTCAACCGATGACTGAAGTTGTGAATCGACACCATAATTGTCTAAATCTCTCACATAACCCACATGGGCTATTTGAAGCAGCCTAATTATATTCGTGTTTCTCATGTCCAACCCAAATACTTGGAAGGCTTTGAGGTTGTTAGCCCACGTATCTCTTTTTGTTATTGGGCCCTATTACTTGACCTAAAGTCCATAACTAAGGTTAACCTATTTAAGCCATTGTCCGTTACTATTTGCTGTGTGTGAGTAGCCCTGTGTTTTGGAAGAGAGAACAATATTCACTTTTGACCATTTCCTTTGTGCTTTCGATTTTTTGCCTTCTCTTTGGCAATTTCTTCTTCTTGTTCTTTTTCATGCTCCTTTGTGGATTAACACATTTGGGCCTCAATTCATTTCCACCATCAGCTCTTTGTGGGCAACCTTAAAGCAACCATTTTGGGAAGTGTGTTTTGTGAATTAATTTGAAAATTAATGAGCATTATGATAGATGATTTTCCCCAAAAACAAAACACAGAAGCTTCTAACATCAATGAACACATGTCGATTAGAAAGATGAAATTACCTGGAGATATATACCGTTGGTGCTATCCAACTAAGTAATATACCAATGTATCTTTGAACGTTTACTTCATTTTTTCAATTTTTTGGAAGTTTTCAAATTGTTTAGATATTTCAAAGCAATAAACGAATACGAAAATCACAAGAAGCTAACTCCCAAGTCAAATAACCACCAAACTGATAGATACATTGTCTCAATGTAAGCACAAAAACAAGTAAAAGATTTGTTGGGTTTTTATACCCAATAAATCTTGGGCTATGATGTTAAACCGCTTTATTGTTGGAATATAATTCATAGGCCTCAACCGATGACTGAAGTTGTGAATCGACACCATGATTGTCTAAATCTCTCACATAACCCACATGGGCCATTTGAAGCAGCCTAATTATATTGGAGTTTCTCATGCCCAACCCAAATACCTGGAAGACTTTAAGGTTGTTAGCCCACTTATCTCCTTTTGTTATTAGGCCCAATTACTTGACCTAAAGTCCATACCTAATGTTAACCTATTTAAGCCATTGTCCATTGCTGTTTACAAAGTGTGAAAGTGTGTGAGTAACCATGTGTTTTGGAAGAGAGAACAATATTCACTTTTGGCCCTTTCCTTTGTGCTTTCGGTTTTTTGCCTTCTCTTAGGCAATTTGTTATTCTTCTTCTTCTTCCTTTATGGATTAACACATTTGGGCCTCAATTCATTTCCACAATTAGCTCTTTGTGGGCAACCTTAAAGCAACCATTTTGGGAAGTGTGTTTTGTGAATTAATTTGGAAATTAATGAGAATTATGATATATGATTTTCCCCAAAAACAAAACACGGAAGCTTCTAACAGCAATGAACACATGTCGATTAGAAAGATGAAATTACCTAGAGATATATACCGACGGTGCTATCCAACTAAGTAATATACCAATGTATCTATGAACGTTTACTTCATTTTTTCAATTTTTTGGAAAGTTTTCAAATTGTTTAGATATTTCAAAGCAATAAACGAATACGAAAATCACAAGAAGCTGACTCTCAAGTCAAATAAGCACTAAACTGATAGATACATTGTCTCAATGTAAGCACAAAAACAAGTAAAAGATTTGTTGGGTTTTGATACCAAATAAATCTTAGGCTATGATGTTAAACCGATTTATTGTTGGAATATAATTCATAGGCCTCAACCGATGACTGAAGTTGTGAATCGACACCACGATTGTCTAGATCTCTCACATAACCCATTTGCACCATTTGAAGCAGCCTAATTACATTAGTGTTTCTCATGCCCAACCCAAATACTTGGAAGGCTTTAAGGTTGTTCTCCCACTTATCTCCTTTTGTTATTGGGCCCTATTACTTGACCTGAAGTCCATACCTAAGGTTAACCTATTTAAGCCATTGTCCATTCCTGTTTGCAATATGTGAAAGTGTGTGAGTAGCAGTGTGTTTTGGAAGAGGGAACAATATTCACTTTTGGCCATTTCCTTTGTGCTTTCAGTTTTTTGCCTTCTCTTTAGCAATTTGTTCTTCTTCTTCTTCTTCTTCCTTTGTGGTTTAACATATTTGGGCCTCACTTCATTTCCACCATCAGCTCTTTGTGGGCAACCTTAAAGCAACCATTTTGGGAAGTGTGTTTTGCGAATTAATTTGGAGATTGTGGTGATCGAATGGTGGAACTAAGCCCAGTTTCTAGGTAATTTGGAGCCCTATTTCAACATACGGTATCAGACCCCTAGGTAGTGATTATTTCTGGCGAAAGCAGTTCCAAAAATTAGCAGAAAATCGACAGAAACTGAATCACAAAGCTGTCCAATTTTTTCCCCATAAAACCGCACCTGTAATTGACGTTTCCGGCCAAACCATTGATTTTTTTGAAAAATCCAGCAGCACAGGGAGGATAAGCAGGTGGAAGAGGTGCTGGATGACTGGCGTGTGTGGGCGTAGGCGGCACGTGGCTGCGGTTGGCGAAGCCCCCAAAGGTAGAGGAGAAGGGCAGCGTATGCGGGCGCGTGACTGAGAATTTTGAGACGCTCTCTTCAGGAAGTTTGTTTATTTTGATTTTCTAAACGTACTGATATTTTTTTCTTTGTGTTTCAAGCTTCGCAGAAAAATTTGGACGTTTTTGCCCTTTGTAGGTTCGACGATTGAAGCTGCAAAATATTTATTGAATTACTTTAGGCCATAAATTGCGGCCTAAAGCAGTAAATTCACATCTCTCGTAATTTACAGACTCAGATAGTTCCGCTCTGGTAAATTGGCTTATCCTGTTTAAATTTTGGCATTAGTGTGTTATCGTGTGGGGTGATTGCTTGTGCTATAAATTAGGAATTATTTTCTCTTCGCTACCACGTAATTGAAATTTGCTCTTTTGATCAATTACAACATATTATGTTTTGTGATAAATCGTGAGTGACTGTTTTGTTGATATCTCTCTAGTTGCATTGATAAGTTGTTAGAATAGCTAGACCTTACCCGTTTTGAAAACTCCCTTGATCTAAGATCGTAAATCTTATGAAACCCTGGGAAATTGAAACGGTGAAAACATTAGTTAATACATCAAAATTCGTGTGCATTGATAATGATACTAAATATTTCAATACCACTCTGAAGGATTATTTGCAAAAACATTAGTTAATACATCAAAATTCGTGTGTTGATACTTTCAATAGAATGGGATTACGAAATGAAGAAATAGACACTCGTTGAAGTTACATGTACCTTGCCAAAATTGTTTTGGGAGAACGATATCTTAACATCAACCTACCTCATAAATCAAATGCCAAGCGATACTTTTTCCTTTGCGTCACCTATCCAAAACCTTCAACAAATTTTCCCTACTTCTTGCCTAACTCAAACATATCCTTCAAAGTATTCAGCTGCGCTACTTTTGTTCACATCCATTCCCATATTCGAAACTTGATCCTCGTGCAATTAAGTGCTTTCACACCGAATATTCACCTACTCAAAAGGGCTATAAATTTTATGATCCATTAACAAAGAAAATATTTGTTAGCTTTGATGTTACATTCTTTGAGAGGTCACCTTATTTCCAAAAGTCACCTCTTTGGGAGGAAAACTTGAGTGAAGATCGGCTCTTAGGCTTTAATATCTCTACCTCCAGGCCTACCCAAAACACTGAACCCGACATACCATCCAGTTCTAATATGTGACGTAAAGAGGAAATATAGAAAAACAAATTGATAGGAAGATGTTAGTTACTTATGGAGGCCAAAATTAAAAGAAAATCTCACATCTGAAGTATCAAGAAAATTGGAACCGATGATAGCCCCAGACCCTCATACGTTCAAACCTCTAGATATGAATCTACCAATCGCACTCAAAAAACAAACTCAATCATGTACTTTTCATCCTATCTCAAAATTTATATCTTATAATGCTCTATCGGATTTCATACTTTTACATCTAATCTTGACTGTACAAAAATTCCAAGGAGTATTAAAGAAGCCTTGAAAGATCTCAAGTGGAGAAAAGCAATGTGGAGGAAATGCAAGCCTTAGAAAAAAATGAATCTTTAATGTGAAGTATAATGTTGATGGAACAATAGAATGATGTAAAACCCGTCTCGTTGCAAAAGGATACACTCAAAGATATTGCATTGACTATACTGAGACGTTCACAACAATGGTGAAGTTGAAAACAATTCTGGTTCTATTGTCTTAAGGAGCTAACT